ATGAGTGCTAGGGCGAGTTTTTCCAATGGGGTGTACCTTGATTCTGCATTTAAGAGCATCTTATTCACATAGTAAGTGGGTCTCAGCTTTTCCCCTTCATTCCTCATCAATGCTCCACTAACAGCGTGCTCCGATACAGCCAAGTAAAGGTAAAGTTTTTCCTCGGGAGCAAGAGTTGATAAAATCGGTGGGGACGCCAAGTATGCCTTCAGTTTGGCAAACGCTTCCTCACATTCTTGACTCCAGAGTGCTCCCCTCTTTCCTTTGATTGATTGAAAAAGGGCTGCATTTATCGATCCAAAGGACATTACCCTATAACAGTACGTTACATCTGGTGTTATGAAGGCAGTCTTTTCTTGATCTTCCTCAGCAAGGGGGATCTGATGATATCCCCTATAAGCGTCCAAGAAACTCATTTGCTCGTGCCCGGCTGTTGCATCTACCAACTAGTCTATCTTTGAAAAGGGGAAACTATCTTTTGGACATGCTTTATTTAGGTCGGTGAAGTCAACACAGACTCTCCACTTCCCATTTTTCTTCTTTACTACAACAGTGTTTGATAGCCAGGTTGGGTATTTTACTTCCTTAATGGTTTGGGATTCCAGCAGGCGAGCCACTTCCTCTTTTATTGCCTCTTAATGCTGTGTTGCCGACCTCCTGAACTTTTGCTTGACTGGCTTGAAGCTCGGGTCGACGTTCAAATGATGACACGCTACTTCGGGAGATACGCCAAGCATATTAGTGGTACTCCATGCAAATACATCGGCATATTCCTATAGAAGGGCGACGAGCTCTGTTTTTTGTTCGGCAATAAGAGCTGCTCCCAACAAAAAATATTTTTCCGAGTCACCATCCTTGTCTAAAGGTACTCTAGTCAAGTCTTCTACTGTTCAGTCTATCGCCTCCCTTTCTTCGCCTAAGGGTATTTGAGGGCCTCTTTTAACAGCTTATCCGTAGGATCAACCGAGCTGTCAAGTGTTGATTGCTATTTATCCTATTCTTTCACCGAGCAGTTTTCTCGGCACTCTGCCTTATCTTTAGATTTTACAGAGGCCAACAAGCAAGTTCTGGAACTGACCTGGTCTCCTCGGATATTTACCACTCTATCCGACGACGGGAATCTCAGCATTTGATGGTACGTTGATGGTACCGCCTTCATTTCGTGCAGCCAAGTGCGTTTCATTATTGCGTTGTATACCGAGACTATGTCCACTACCAAGAATTCGGTCATGACGCAAACTGGTCCTGTCTTTACAGACAAAGTGATTTTCCCCTTAGGAAGAACTGTTTTACCACTAAAGCCAATCAATGGCGTATTTGAGGGCTTGAGGTCCTCCTTCTTAAGACCGAGCTTTTCGAATAGATCCATATACATAATTTCTGACGAACTCCCCGGGTCGATCAGGACCCTTCTCACGTCAAAATTCGTAATCCGAAGCGTGACGACTAAGGCATCGTTATGCGGTTGGTGAACACCGACCAAGTCCTACTCGGTGAAACAAATCGCTTTGGCTTTCTCTTCTATCTTGATTCTTTTGTTGGTAACTTCCGGGGTCATTCTTAGTTCATACACTTCTCTCTCCTTGGTTGTTTTCTGAATGTTAGTCCGAGCAGAATTGTTTGTGGACATCTAAGGGTTGGTAGCGGCATGTATCATATCAATTACCCCAACTGGAGTATTGTGGTCCCCTTTTGGCTCGGTTCTTCCCCCTTCGATTTTTTGCCCACTTTCAATGAACTCTGCCAGATGTTCCGCCTGTACAAACTCCTCCAGATGTTGTTTGAGAGATCGGCAGTTCTCAGTCATGTAACCGACATCCCTATGATAGGAACACCTAAAGTTTGGATTCCTTTTAGATGGATCGCCCATTAGCTTGTTTGGCTACTTGAAGAACGGCTTTCCTTTGATCTGATTCCGCACCTTGTATATCGGCTCTTTAAACAGTGTATTTATCCCAAGAAATGGGGACTTCTAGGGATATCCTTCCTTCTCAAACTTCCTTCCCCCATCTTTATTCGGCTCGGTTTGCTTGTCTCTGCCGAACTACCTTCTGCTCGGATGTTCCTTAGCCACCTACCTGGACAAGTCATCATCAACCTTGGCGTACTTTTCAATTCTTGCCATCAATTTTTCCAGGTCGGTAACAGGTTTTCTCGTGAGGGACTGGTATAGAGGGTTTTCTTTCGGCAATCTGATCTTGAAATATGCAACTGCAATCTCTGGATTGTATGCTTCGACTTCATTCATAGTTTTCCAATAACGGTGGGCGTACTCTCGTAAACTTTCGTTATTCTTCTTTTTCAACGTTAGTAGAGCCCCAACATCCTTTGGCTGCTTACTGCTCGTAATGAACCGAGCCGTGAACAACTCGGCTAACTGAGACCACCCGTTTATCGTTCCCTTTGGTAGGTTGTCAAACCACTTCATGGCTGACTCCCCAAGACTGCTAGGAAAAATAGTGCAAAGTAGTGGCTCGTTTCTTCGGTGAATGGTCATCAGTTGTCGGAAGTGTCTGATATGTGAGGCTGGGTCGGTCTTTCCATCATACAGCTTGAAGTTCGGAACGGTGAACTTGCTCGAGATTCGGGCCTTTTCGACCCAGGCAGTAAATGGGGATGACTCCAATCCGTCTCTGTACTCTCCTGTTGCTCTTCTAGTTAGGTCCCTAGTCGACTTCTACACTGGTCTTTTGAGGCGATTTTTGAGCTCTTCATTGATATATTGCTTCCATGTGTCCTCCTCTTGAATTCGAGGCTTCTTCTGTTGGTACTTCTCTTCATCAGCAATTTTGATTCTGCTAGGCTTCCTTCTCGGACTTTCATGCCGACCCTCTCTTGCCCACTTCTCCCTTCTAGTTGCCTTTTGCAACTTGGCTTTTAATTCTTCGTTTTCTTTGATCAGATCTTTATCTCGAGCATATGATTTCTTGAACAGCTTGTCATGAGCATCAAGTCGAACCTGCAGTGATTGGACCAACCTTGCCAAGGAGTGGTTTTTCCCCTCGGTACGGAGGGATTTACCATGATCCTCGATTTGCTGGTTCTGATTTTTCGAGGGTCTGAAACTTGTTGAGGATACTTCGTCACCTTCATGAATTCTAGATGGGCTTCTAATTGCATGCAACTTCGCGTTGCTATCAGAGGGAAGGGACGCAGGATCAGAGTTTCCCAAGGCCAAACTGCCTACGGGAGATCTAATTGCGCTTCTGAGTCTTGACATCGTAGCTTTTTGTTTCTAAAAGATGAAAATCATTTCCCATAGACGGCGCAAAAATGTAGAGGCAAAAAATTGGTGTTTCCTCTAACTGTGAATTTGAGATATGATTCCTGGAAAATAATTCTGAACAATCTTCAAACCTCTTTCCTGCAAAACGAACAAACTGTCCAAGATCAAAGTGTTTTTGATCAAAGGCACTCCGATGCTTAAATCAGTAATGGAACAGAAAAAATTGAATCGAGACTAGGAGCGTTCAGCATACCTTTCACCTTGGTCTTTTATGCTTTTTATAGGTCATCATCTCTCTAGGGTTTCCATGAATTTAGGTTCAAGGTGGCACACCTTCCGTTAATTCAGTAGTTGAGTTTGGAAAGTTACTGATACTTCTCCAACAATTTCTCTTGATATCCTCAATCTTATTGATTTCGTTTATCTAATTGCCTAAGTTTTAGGCGAATCTTTAACTTTACTTCTATCGTTTTGAACTGCTCAGATGTATTGAATGCCGAGCTCATTTGACATTTGCCGAACTATTTAGAGACTTGGTTTGGCACAAACCGTACATTCTGGAGAACTTGGCTTGGTACAAGCCGAGCACTTTCCTTGCTTAGCTGAACAGATTCATGAGCTTTATAAAGAGAGCCGAACTCTTTCATTATTTGTTGGATCCTTTGATCAGTTCGGCTCGGGTTGTATGACTAGGTGAATGACCTCTTCGTCACGTGACTAGTTTTGTCAATCTCACGTGAGCTTATTTAATGTTCTAACACGTGTAATTATGAGGGGCAGCCCCTTCGATAAATATATAAAGTAACCCGTTAAGATATACAATAGAAATATGGTGAGAAGGGTGGAAATAATATGCTAAAATGGGAGAATATTTGTCTTTTTTAAAAATTTAATTGGTTTAGAGTAGCTGAAGAAGAAGGGATATGTTACCCAAGCAAAAAAAAAACCAGTAAAGTTACAGGTTTGGAAGAAGTTGGAGATGGCTAATGATTGACCAAACAAGGCCTGGGGAATGATCATTCCATATGCACCCAATATCTTGCCTTTTCTTAATGAATTTTCTTCTCTTTTTTTCTTTGGTGGTGTTTGTCAAGCATGAGGTTAACTCTCAATTTTACAAGTTTTTTTGGGTAACATTTGAACAGGAAATTGGAGACTTTGAGAACTGGATGAAGACCATGGAATTTGATTGTAAAAGCATCACTGCTGCAATGTGCAACATTCACCAAGAATGACTTCGCAAGGTGTCAAATTTGTCTATAATAGAGTTAACATTTTTTTTACTATATATCTAATGTCTTATGGAAAATCTGTGGCTTTGTGTGATATCTAGAATCTCATCTCCAAAACACTTTTATCAAACCTCACAGGATTAACTCCTGCTTCGGAATGCAATATTGCTGCTCTTCCTGACATGTCATTCTATTTAAAAATGGGAATTTGATTGTTCAATGCTGATTCCAGCCTTGTATAGATCAATGTGCATAGCCCGTCAATGTGAAGTGCGGAAGGGATATACCGCATGGGATAAAACAAAATTTACCCTATTTTTAGATTATATCATCACTGTATCTATACATTGGTCAACTCAAAACTACAACAAAACACTTATTCGGGAAGTAATTTAGTCAACATTTGTTTATTTTCCTGCACTTCTTAGACCAGACATTATTCCAAAGAACTCAGTTTATTTTACTGCAATTAGTTCGAATCTGGCCACTGGTTCCTGTGAGTACGCTGAGATTAACCAATTTCACCATGGCTTGGACAAAATCTATGAAGAAAGTTGCTTGGCTGATGTTGTAAGTGATGACCTGAGAGTCAGTGGAACCATTGTTGAAGAGTTGTGGTTAGAATGCAGGAGGCCTTTTTTTATCACCAAATCACCGAAATAAGCGTTGTCGAAAAGAACAGGGCTGGTAACATCAAAAGGGGTGAGGTTGTTGTCGCCGCTGGTTCTTGGACAGTTTGATTTCCGAAGCGTTGCAAATTTAGTGTTGATGTTTTTCTCATTGTAGATACGATTTCGAAAGAATCGACACCCGGATTGGCCTATGGTGTGAGCTCCTGTTAAAGAAGAATGAATCTCATGTAATTTCAAAGGAAAAGAGGTCATAAGTGCCGCTCAAGAAAATTTGTCAAATATTCTTAGGAACATTTGAAAAACAAAGACAGTATTCTTAACTTTGACCGGTCTCTCATTGGTCGTAATTATTTTTTATATCTCCTAAGGGCTAGTCATTCTTGTTTTTTTAAGGACATGCTTTAACACAATTTAAGTCACAGTGGTCAGCTGCTGAGTATGAGGGAGTAGTCGACTTAAACCTCGACACCATGTAACAAACAAAAAAAAACTAGGCTCATAGGTTGTGCTTCATATATTCGTACCAATTCTTCTGATATGATGTGAGAATGTTCCTTACCCGAGAGAGTAACTATTTCATGGGCAGTAAAGCCTTTCTTTGCGAAGGCAGATATGAGGGCGGAAAGATCCAAAGAAGGTCCTGGGAGGTCGTTGTTTGCTGCACTTAAACTTGCTGTGGTTGAGTCTCTTCTGCCTAATTGAAAATCCCACGTAGGCCCACCTAACTGAATAAAAACAAGTTTTACAAGATCAATGGAAGAAAATAATCAGCAAAACTAGGAATATTATAATATCATTAACTTGTTTTTGTAATAATCAATATGGCATTGTATAATTAGTGACATCCATCGATTTAATTACTCTATGAAAATATGTTTCCCCCCCCCCCCCAAGATTCAACCTTTGGAAGTGTGAATTCATTGTGGTTTAACAAAATCTACATTTGATGAATGTACTACTTTCTCTAAGACCACCATGAAAAATGTGGGTCCATTTTACTTCATTTTTTATATAAATCGATGAGTCTAGCTTTTTTCCGGTTATACATATACCACATAATAGATTACACATCCTTTGCAATTTACAGTAAACGAGCAAAACTACGTGTCTACATGTTACATGCCACGATGAATCCTTTTGAAAATTCACGAGGGAGAATAAAAAAGAAATTTGAAGTCAACATATCTCACAAAAGTTTTGTTTTTTCATTTCTTTTATTTTTTTTTCTTTTGGAAAAACCAGTTGTGGATTTTATAGTAGTACAGTAGTGGAGATAATGAGTTCTATTACTGCAACATTTTATTTTTTATTTTATTTTTTGGTTTATGCCTCAGAGAAGTATTAGGTGAAAATAGTACTTACGGCAACGATAGAATCCCGAGCTGCAACAGTAACAATATCTGCACAAGAAACTATTCTGGGGCAAATACTTTCTACTTGAGATTTGATTTTATCAATAACATCAAATCCTCTCAAAGAATTTAAATTTGAGGATGCTGTTTTCTCTCCGTAAAATTTGCAGTGTCGTCTAATAGGCAAAATCCATTACATCCCTGTTGATTGAAGTTACACAATCTTATCAAAACAACAATGGATTTTGATGATCAATATTGCAAAGATTGATGATGATATGATGATTATGGTGGCATTTTACTGAAATTTTTTGCCATTTTGTAGTGATTTTTAAACTTTTTCTACACGAATAATGTGGAATGTAACTTGTTTCTCAATCGAAATTACTACTTATATAGACTCACACTTTTAATGTTAAATTGTATTTTGCAAACATTTTCAATATAAAACTATCAAAAAATAATCTATTGCCATGAGCGAGAGATAGAGAGAGAACATGCAATAACAAAGCAATCGTGTGTGTGTGAGAGAGAGAGTGACAGAGAGAGAGAACGTGCAAGAACAAAGCAATATTAACATGGAGAAGATGAAGAAGAAGACGTCATTATTCTAATTCGAGTAAAACGCCATGTTTCAATTAAAGAAGCCGAATGGAAAGAAAAGCTTGTGGATTGTGTTAGCTTCTTTCCATGAGAATCTGATGATATATATATATATATATATATATATATATATATCTTCCATAGGAGCAACTTGTTCAATTAACGTTTGACATTTGCTTGCAACACTTCATAGGGGATACCACCACATTGTTAACATGTCTTACTATTATATTTTATATATAAAGGATATATTTCATGTGTTTATTCAACACACAAGATAATAACCACGTTTAATATATAAAAAACTTTATTTTTAGATAGTGATATCACATGTAATTACTGACATGAAATTACCATTATACTGAATATGGATAATATCTTGGCGAGACTTTGTCTTAAAAAATATTCAATATCATCCTAATGTGATATTGTCGCCGTAATATATACTTTTTTGCTCAATATGGTCACATATAACTCAAATGGGTAGTTCAAGTAGTAATAAAAACGAGTTATAAACTCAAACGTCTTGAGTTTGAATTTTGACAACTATTTGAGATCATGCCATGAAGGATTTATCCCTCATGAATAACCTAATCCCGGCGTGGATGAATTGTCATTGACCAGATCGAGAAGGGGTTTAATCTAAGTGCATGGGAGCTGGTCCGGATACCTCTGATCATTGAACAAAAAAAAATATGTTTACATACTTACATATGTCATATGATGGAATTCAATTGGAGAAGATGAATTAAATAATTCAAAATTAGAAACAAATAATATTTGGTATAAAAATATACTAGCAATACCCTCTGACTGAAATCATTGTATACTAAGTAATGATACTATGCATGTATTAGAGTGTGTATGTAATGTGTGTGTTAGAGTGTGTTGTGAAGTGTTTGTGTTAGATTTGTGAAATTTGGGAGAGAAAATGTGTAAAATTTTTAAAAAAATATTTGGGTATGGATTTAAGTCTCCCTTAATTTGAGTAAAAAAAAATGAGTTTACCTTAATTTGATTTGAGTATGAGTCTAACAATGAAAAAAAAAATTTAAGGGTTTTATTTTTCAAATTTAAATTTGAATTTAAAAAAAGGAAAGTAAGGATTTGAAATACCCTAATGTCACACTTTTATTTTAGTGGGGCCACTTGAGCAGTTAGCTATTAACTGTCTCTAGAACTTGCCCAACACACTCTTATTCTTGTGGAGACCACTTAAGCACAAAGTCAGAAACAATCCAGCAGTCTTTGCTAATTTTTAAGCCTAAAATAAAGTCAAACTTTACCTTGTGAGTATCAGTGAGAATTGTTACTCAACAAAGTTTCATACCATGACTCTGAAACCCAATCTTATACCCTAATTGAAGCTAAAGTTCATTAAGGTACCTAGGCCATTTACCTCATCTTCTTCTTCCCATCTTACTTTGATATTCTTCTCCGAAAGCATCATTACCTTTTGGCTTTAGTTAAGATATATTACATGTGGTTCATGGAATTTTACCATTATATCATTTTCATAATAATCAATCTTTTTAGTAATTCTGTAACAAAACATAAAAGAGTAAGAATAGAAAAAATCAAAGTCTAAACCTAACTTTTAAGCTCTAAGCACAAAAATCACTCAAACTCAAAAACAAGATACAATACTGGATTTTTCATTTATGCTTGGATCAACATAGTCTTGCACAATAACTACTAAGCCAAATATCTCAAACATAATAATGCTATACAGACTTTAAAAAATTGATTTAAAAACTTGATTTGATGGTGTGGCTGTTACATTTGTCATTAGTTTAACTGTGTGTTTCAGTATTCATTGGGACCCACTACCTATTCAATTGTAATGATTCTTCAAGTAAGTTTTTAAGTCAATCTTTTAAATCTATTTAACATTTTCATAAAACAATACGTTAGTCATGCTACAGATTCAAAAAACATCCCAAATCCAATTCTAAACCAAAGTATTTAAACCACGTTAGGCTCACTAGTTATGTAAGGTTGGTCCCTCACCTGGCCTAAGCTTTGTGCATCTTAAGAAGACCTCTGAATGTAGCAATGAAGTTTGAATCCCTTTTTCTCATCTTGCTTCGATCTTCAACATTGTAAATATCCTAGCTTTTTGTATTTAAAGATACATTACATTGTAACTCATGGAATTTTGTCAATACATCCATTTCCTAACAAGAGTGTTATGTGAGCGCCTAGGAATCCCAAAAACTCAAGAGAAAGTAGATTTGTAAAACTCAATCCAGTGATTGACTTGAGTTATGGGTTTCCCACCTCATCTTAGCCCTCAATTTTTGAAGAAAATAAACCAATGTTGCATATTTTGCTATTAAAAAAAAAAGGCTTAAGTAGTTTAAAAAATAAAAAAAGGCTCCTACTAGTCGATCGAATATAGAGATTAAAAGAAGGCCCTCATACTCCCAATTTTTTGTCATGAGAATTGTTGAAAACTATAAATTTTGTACCTAATTTGTCAATAAGTCAAGACATGTACTTTTTAAGGCATGAGATCCAACTCATCGGAACTTTTTTGTTATGTAGTCAAACTAATTTTTCTCTTTTTTTTGTATATGACAATATTACCCCAACTCTGTCTTGCACTTTGCCAAATTGAAATCGAACGAGAGTCATTGTCTTTTTCATGGACGTTGGAAAAATGGGATGCAAAAAATGAAATGAATGGCAAGGTGAGGCGCGGACTAAGTCGCTCTCTTAAAACGATTCGCGCCCCTTTATGAAAGAATCACATCACAGAAGGTAAAACGCGTAATCTCAAGGATACAATAGTCCAGCCTATTGACTGTTGCTTCACTCAGATTTGCACAATCGAATGAAACAGAAATTCACAAGACACCTTTTTTGCATTGCCCATAAACTTATACAGTAGGGAGACAATAGATATTTCTCTATATTGAAATATGTATGTGTGTGTATGTATATATATACAGATAATATAGGTGTTTAATAATCCGCAATTACTCCTATATTTAATTAGATAATAACTTAAAAAAATGATTGTTGGAATACTAGCCGTTGGAGCCTTTTGATTTTCAGCAACTGAAATTTTAATATAGAAGTAATGACAAAAAAATATTAAAAGTGTTTTCAATAATAGTTAATATTGTATCCCATTTATTTTAATAATAGTTTTCAATAATGCAAAAAATGAAATGAATGGCAAGGTGAGGCGCGGACTAAGTCGCTCTCTTAAAACGATTCGCGCCCCTTTATGAAAGAATCACATCACATAAGGTAAAACGCGTAATCTCAAGGATACAATAGTCCAGCCTATTGACTGTTGCTTCACTCAGATTTGCACAATCGAATGAAACAGAAATTCACAAGACACCTTTTTTGCATTGCCCATAAACTTATACAGTAGGGAGACAATAGATATTTCTCTATATTGAAATATGTATGTGTGTGTATGTATATATATACAGATAATATAGGTGTTTAATAATCCGCAATTACTCCTATATTTAATTAGATAATAACTTAAAAAAATGATTGTTGGAATACTAACCGTTGGAGCCTTTTGGTTTTCAGCAACTGAAATTTTAATATAGAAGTAATGACAAAAAAATATTAAAAGTGTTTTCAATAATAGTTAATACTGTATCCCATTTAGGCGAGCCAAGGGGACAAGTTACCCAGGTGTGGACTAGGCTGATTAGCATGATTCATAGATTTTGGAAACTCATATCCCCTTCGCTCGTCCCACCCCTGTGCACGTGAAAGTTTCAAAGTCTTACTTTAACTCA